ACTTATTATCTAAACTTCTCTTTTGAAATTTTTTTTCTCAATCTTGGCGTTGTCATCAAAATTAGCGCCTTGTTCCATTAATCTACCAAGAGCTCTTACGGCCACAGCGAATTTAACTTCTAAATTTTACTCAGTATTCGACGACCGAATTATCCCACGAATGTTAAAATTTCTCTTTAATAAAATTACTGTTCAATTACTTACCATATTCTTTACCATCCTTGGCACCACATGTTTCCACTTCTTCTGTCTCCACGACGTTAATACATCCTATGCATGACGGACCATCTATGCTATCCTCTACCAAATCAGCATAGTTCTGACCAAACTTGTTCGCTTCGATGTCTATTCAGAGTTTCACGTTTCATGTATTATTCTTCGAATGCGCTCGTGCTACACCCGGACCATACTCAAGCGTCCTTTTAACCCCTATCAACAATGACCTTGAAACTCATTCCTCTGCTTTATTGTCCCCGGAAAAATTCCTAATGGTTCAAAATTATCTTCATTCAGATTAAGGTTTTGATCTTCTGACTTCCTTTCACACCTGTGTCTCATATCTAGTTTTGCGTCATCACCAACTTTTTCGAAAGTAATGCGAAATTAAAGTTTTGTTTACGAAAATCGCCAAAAATATCACGAGATATGGTGTTTTCTTGGCCTCATTACTAAAAAAATTTAAAAGCGAGAAAATCGCTTAGCGAAATCAGGTAGTATATTCGTGTGAATCTTACGCCAATCATTTTGTGAACACTCTGTATTTTGCACCATACCTAGTATTTATATTCTTACTTTCCAAATTTTTTAAAAGGCTAATTTTGTTTCCAGGTATGCATAATATTATTTAGATTTTTTTGATAAGTTATTATCAAAATTGTCTTCCAATGCATGCTTTGCGAATTCGTTCTTTGTACCCTTTATGAGTGAGTGTTATATGGATATTAATGAAACTAGTGCTTTGTGCTAGCATGCTCAATTCTTGAAATAGCTCATTATAATGATCTATGACAATACAAAGTGGAAACGTAATATAAAAAATGCTCCATCATTGATATAATTCCAATATACAATAATGAATTTTCAATATATGATAAAGTAGTTTGAACTGAATTGACGTATGGTATCATTCATATTTATGTGTCTACATAGCTTAGATATTATTATTGTTTCTTTATGTTAGTTGTAGTAATTGCTTGTTATTTTCATCATTAAAATAGAATAATGCTGTTCGTGCATGTATCGTGTTATAATGCAGTAATTGCATGGAACTTATCTCTCCCTGTTCTTTGCCTATTTTCTTACGTCTGCATACATAGTATCAGTGTTATATCATCGAAATTGTTCACTGTTCTGGATCAAGTCGATGTATGTATGGTATAACTCTTCTAATAAGTGCATGTAGAGGCAAATGTCAACACTTCAACAAAAATCCATTTTTGGTTTTCTTAATTTTTCTTAAGAATTTATATCCTAAGATCAGAAGTTGCACTGAGAGCATTTCGCCCATCTAGATCGACTTTGATCAGAGACGTCTTCCGCGCACTATAAAATACGACTGCTCGAGCGCATCGCCCACTTAGATCGCATGCTACGAGCGCACCCCGCTTAGATACGATCATTTGTCAGAGGGCAGTCGCCCGCTCTAAGATCGACGGCTCGTAGGCACGCTGCCGCTCAGATCGACTTGCTCGGAGGGCCATCGCCCTTAGATCCGACTTGCCGAGTGCATCGCCCGCTTAGATCGACTTGCTCGTGGCTCGCCCGCTTGGATTCGACTTGCTACCGGTGTTGGCATCGCGCCGCTTAGAATCCGACTTGCCTCGAGGGCATCGACCCGCTTAGATCGGACTTGCTCGAGGCAAGCGCCCGCTTTAGACGACTTGCTCGAGGGCATGCCCGCTTAGATCGACTTGCTCGAGCATCGGCCCGCTTAGATCGACTTGCTCGAGGCATCGCCCGCTTTAGATGATCTTGTCGGAGGGGCATCGCCCGCTTAGATCGACTTGCTACCGGAGGGCATCGCTCCGCTTAGATACGACTTGCACGAGCGCATCGCCGCTTAGATCGACTTGCCACGAGCGCATCGCCCCTTAGATCGACTTGCTCAAGGGCATACACCCGCAGTGGACAATGCTGAGCACACATCGCAAACGCTTAATAAGCTGCTCGAAACACATCGCTTAGATCGACTTGGACTCGAAACACATGCGCTTTAGATCGACTTGTCCTGAGCGCGATCGCTCTCGCTTAGATCGACTTGTCGAGCGCACCGCCACCTATCGATCGTTGTCGGAAGCGCCCGCCCACCTAGATCGACCTTTTTCGAGCGCACCGCCTCACTAGATCGACTTGGTCGACTGCACGCCGCACTATATCGACTTGGGCGACGCATCCGCCACCTAGTTCGACTTGTCGAGCGCACCGCCCACCATAGATCGACTTGGTCGAGCGCCACCGCCCACCTAGATCGACTTGGTCGAGCGCACGCCCACCTAGATTCTTGACTTGGTCGAGCGCACCGCCCACCTAGATCGACGTTGGTCGAGCGCACCCGTCCCTAACCTAGATCGACGTTGGTCGGCGCACGCCCACCTAGATCGACCTGGTCCCGAGCGCACGCCCACCTAGTTATCCGACTGGGTCGAGCGCACCGTCCCACCTAGATCGACTGTTCGGCGCACCGCCCACCATTAGAATCGACTTGGTCTCCAGTAGCCGCACGCCACTCTATTATCACTTGCTCGAGCGCACCGCCCAGTCCTAGACTCCGACCTCGGTGTCGAGCGCACCGCCCACCTAGATCGAACTTGGGCGAGCGCACCGCCCAACCTAGATCGACTGTCAGAGCGCATCGCCCACCAGATCGAATATGCGTCGAGCGCATCGCACACTTGGTCGACTTTCTCTGAGTGCGCGATATCAGCCCTACATCTTTGATCGACTTGTGTTGGCATACTTGTGGCCAAATAAGCTTTTCGACCTACGTCTTCGGGATGGTCTACTTATAGAGACTTGCTCAGCGGATCAGACGCTCGAGCAATCCGCATGCGATTGGGGGATTCGGCTCGAGCAAGTCGATATGTGGCGGGATCGCTTCGAGCAAGTCGATGATTGTGGGGGATTCGCTCGAGCAACGATGATGTTTGGGGGATCTGTCTCGAGCAAGTCGATTTGATTGTGTGGGATTCGGCTCGAGCAAGTCATGATGTGGGGATTCGGCTCTAGCAAGTCGATTGGCTATGGTGGACCCTCGGCTCGAGCAAGCGATGATGTGAGGGATCGGCGTCGAGCCAAAGTGCTATAGAATTTTGCGGAGTCGGCTCGACAGCAATGGTCGATGAGGTTGTGGGATCGGCGCGCAGCAGTCATGATGATGTGGGGGATCGCTCGAGAAGAAGTCTCGATGATGTGTGAAATGGGACTGCTTGCGTAAGCTAAGTCCGTACTGGAGGTGGGAGGATCGGCGTCGTGAGCAAAAGGGTCGATGATGTGGGGGATCCGCTCGAGCAAGTCGATTGATGTGGGGTGATCGCTCGAGCAAGTCGATGATTTGGCAGGGTATCTCTCGAAGCAAGTCGAGATGTGGTACGGGATCGGCTTCTGAACCATCGCACTAGATGTGATGGGAAATACTCAGGCATACTGCAAGATCAAACTCGAGTGATTGGAGGTGGGGATGCGGCTTCGGCAAAGTCGGATGATGTTGGGTGTTATCGGCCTCGAGCAGTCGATGATTGTGACGAAGGTACGTGCTCGAGCAAGTCATAGAGTGTTGTGAGGAGATCGTTTGCGTGATAGCAAAGTGATGAATAGTTGAGGAAAAGGGATCGGCTCGCAGCAATGTCGATGATGTGGGGATCGGCTCCGCGCAAGTGATGGTTTGGGGGATCGGCTCGAGCAAAATGTCGATGAGTTAGTTAGACTTAAGAAGTGTTAAAGTATTTTGCATGTGTAAAAGTGTTAGCGGAGTTAGGATCGGCCTTCAAGCGCCTCAGCGATGAGCGATTCCTAGACCTTGTGGGCCATCGTGGATCGGAGACAAGTACGTAATGATGTTAGGGGGACTCCTCGGAGCACTCGTACAAATGTCGATATGATTGTGTGGTGGAATCAGGAACAACCTGAGTGCTCTACGTTCAAGATGAATATTTCCCCCTTTGATGTGAGGGTGATTCGCCCGCTGTAGTCTAAGCTCCGGAGATTATAACCTGGGTGAGAGCGTTATACAGCGTCGAGCAGAGGGAAGTTTGTGGTGGAGGATCGCTCTCGAGCAAGTCGGATGATTGTGGGTGATCGGCGTGCGAAAGCATAGGTCCATACTGAGGGGCTTTGCAAGACGTGCACCCACGCCCCGGATGATGTGGTTGGTGCGGCTCGAGCAAAGTCATGGAGTGATAAACTGTGGCGAGAGTGATCTGTGACCCTTGCGAGCTAATCGATTAAATGTAGTGGGATACTTCGCTCGTAGGCTAAGAGCTCGATGAGGTAAGGAGGGAATCCGTTCGGTCGAGCAATCGTTAAATTTATTTGTGTGGGAATACGGCTTCTGAGCAAAGTCATGGATAGAATGTGGGGGTATTCGGACTCGAACAATGGCTCTTGCATAGATTTTGTAAATTAAGCCATGGGGCCCAACTTCCCTTCCAAAAGCTTTCCTGTTATAATTTAACGGTCTGTGGGATCGGCTCGAGCAAGTCGAATGATGTGGGCGATCGGTCTCGACAAGTCGATGATGTGGGGGACGGCTCGAGCATAGTGATGATGTGGGGGCTCGGCTCGAGCAAGCGATGATGTGGGGGATCGGCCGAGCAAGTCGATGATTGTGGGGGGCTCGGCTCGAGCAAGTTCGGATGTTGTGGGCTACGGCTACGAGCAAGTCGGATGATTGGGGGGCTCGCTCGAGCAAGTCGATTGATGGGGGGTCGGCTCGAGCAAGTCGAATGATGTGGGAGGCTCGGCTCGAGCACAGTCGTGATGTGGCGGCTCGCATCGAGGCAAGTCTAATGATGTGGGGGCTCGGCTCGAGCAGTCGATTGGATTGTGGGCTCGCTCGAGCAAGTCGATGATGTGGGGGCTCGCTCGAGCAAGTCGATGATGTGGGGGCTCGGCTCGAAGCAAGTCGATGATGGGGCTCGGGCTCGAAGCAAAGTTCGATGATGTGGGGCTCGGCTCGAGCAAGTCGATGGATGTGGGGGCTCCGCTCGAGCAAGTCGATGATGTGGGGGCTCCGCTCGAGCAAGTCGATTGCATGTGGGCTCGGCTCGAGCAAGTCGATGATGTGGGGGGCTCGGCTCGAGCAAGCGATGATGTGGGGCCGCTCGTAGCAAGTCGATTTGATGTGGAGGCTCGGCTCGAGCAAGTCGATTGCATGTGGGGGCTCGCTCGAGCAAGTCGATTGATGTGCGGGGCTCGGCTCTGAGCAAGTCGATGTAGTGGGGCTCGCTCGAGCAAGTCGATTGATGTGGGGGCTCGGCCTCGACAAGTCGATGATTTGTGGGGGCTCGGCTCGAGCAGTCGATGTGTGGGGGCTGGGCTCGAGCAAGGTCGATATGGTGTGGGCTCGGCTCGTAGCAGAGTCGTATGATGTGGGGCTCAGCTCGAGCAAGTCGAGGGAAATGTGGGGGCTCGGCTCGAGCAAGTCGATGATGTGGGGGCTCGGCTCGAGCAAGTCGATGATGTGGGGGCTCGGCTCGAGCAAGTCGATCATGTGGGGGCTCGGCTCGAGCAAGTCAATTTAGTAATGGGTACACATGAGTACGTCGATGATAATGGGGATCAGCTCGAGTTGGTCGGTCAAGTAGGCGAAATACTCAGGAAATACGATCAAGTGGCGATATTTTAATTTGCTCCAAAGATATTGATTTTATTGAGGAAGGTCGAATATGACAAAGTACCCAGAGCGATCGAATAGCACAGATGAAGCTATGTCGGAGCCACGGGTCACACACTGGGAGTGGGACAATCTTTGATTGCCTGACGCACCGTTAATTGCTTGTCGTGCAGTATTCCTCCTTTTCCTTTTTATGTGTATCTCTTTTTATCTGACTATGGTTTCTCCTCACTGCAGAAGTAATCTGTGCCGTTTCTGAGCTTATAATAAATACGTGCAGGCTGCAGTGGGTAACTGCTTATTACATCATGTAACATCTGCCAGGAGAAGAAAATTTCCGAGTCGTTCTAGCGGCAATTATCTTATTACTAGTGTGTACTCGAGCTGGAAAAGCTTGTAATGAAATGTTCAAAACGACTCTCTTGCCTGAATAGACTTCTGATCAATCTAAAACGATAAAAATGTTTACCATAGGGTTTAGTATTTAAAGTGGTTTCCACAAGGGTCATACTATTCATCTATATACTATTCAAAAGGTCTTAATTCAAAATGTTTCGTTTTCTGAAACAAATTCACGTTTGGAGATATTTGCAACTATTCCTTTCCCGGCCCATGCTTGATTTATCTTTTAGAACATTTCGAAAAAAATATCTTTGAGTTTTGATACGTCGATTATATATCGCAAATAGTTTGAGTATTAGTAGAAATATTTTGGTTTTTTCACTATGACGAAAAACACTTGTGTATATAATGGACACGTTACGTAACAGAAATCACATTGTAGGGTAAAAGGATAACGTGTGTAGGATTGGTGTTGATGAACATGGCAAATAATTTAATTAATCAATAAAATATATCTTTAATTTCTTAATACACTAAATAACAATGTGAATACAACTTTATTTTATTTTATTATAGAAACATTTTCTCAACAAGATTTAATCAGTCCGAAATGGAAAAATACGGTTCCGTAATAAACAACATTCTGTACACTCTTGTTCAGAACGGCATAGTCCGACTAGATAATAGAAATGAAATTTCATAAGACGGAAGCAAAGTGTATAACCTCCACTTGATTTGATGATGCGTTTTCTGCAAAAATATCATTCTTATAAATGCAAAATCTGGGAGGGGTTAAGTTATTTTTATTGGGAATATGAGAAATTAATATGATTCATCTTTGTATGTACTATTACGAGTTAAGAGGGAAAAAGCGTTCTATCTCCCAATGGATTCTCTAGTTTAAAAACATAGTGTAAACATATTTTCTTGATTGTAGTAGTAAATAGAGTTCAACTTTTGCGTTTAAGCAAGACTAATATTGATAATGGGTTCAGCCAAAATATGGGAACTCCAAGATTGAACTGTTCTTAAACGTAACCACCTAAAGATTGACTGTCTTTGAATTTGCAATTTGGATTTTCTGAAATAAATTCTTCCTGTATGTATCTTGTAAGTATTAGAGAAATGAAACTAGTTTTTTAAAGTTATACACTGAGGTGACAAAAGTCATGGGATACCTCCTAATATCGATTCGGGCCTCCTTTTTCCTGGCGAAATGCAGCAACTCGTGGCATGGACTCAGGTCGTTGGAAGTCCAGAGTTTAAATATTGTCATGCTGCCTGTGTTGGCGTCCATAATTGGAATGTGATGCCGTTGCAAATTGTGTGCACGAACTGACCTTTCAATTGTGTCCCATAAATGGTCAATGGGCGATCTGGGGTGCTAAATCACCCGCTAGAATTGCCCAGAATGTTCTTCAAAAAAAAAGAAAAATTGTGGCCCGGTGATATCAGCCATACAAATTCCAACATTTTTTGGGAACTTAAATTTCATGATTGGCTGCAAATGATCATTAAGTCAAGGTCATTAAGTGAAGATCGACGGCGACTGCGTTTTCCATTGTGTAAGGTTATGCCTGATATTAGGTATTCTCGGCACACTCTTGACACTGTAGATCCCAGAATGATGTTCCTAACGATTTTGAAAATGGTATGTCCCGTGCGCCCAGCTTCAAAGTCGCGTTCGCGTTCAAAGTCTGATAATACTCGTCGTGCGGCCATAAAGTTAGAAACATTTTCACATGATTTACTTGAGTTCAAATGAAAGCTCTGGCAATGCACTGCTCTTATATACTTTTTGTACGCGATATTACAACCATCTGTATATTTGCATATTGCTTCCCATGCCTTTTGTCACGTCAGTGTATGGTGCCATCGTTATTTGTGCATACTGATGCCTTTCAGAACAAATGTTGTCTATAGCAAAAGCTAATGAGCGCAAATGAAGCTTTTGGCTGACTTCATTGACATTGGTATATACAACTGACTAGACATATTGCACTAAATAGTACTCATGATAGTAACCTATGGTATTACATACTGAGAATTTACTTACTGCCTATTTGTTGTTTGTTTTGACAGTATTATAGACATATATTGTAAAATGTATATAAACTACTTACCGTTCATTTTATTAATCTTTTTTGAAACAAATTCCCTTCACATTCGGAAGTTCAGGACCTTCTCTAGATTATCAGTTGGTCATTATAAGTTTGACGACCATTTTCTCCATACATTTCTGCAATGGAAGAGCAAAATATAAATGTCATTGCCCAGGGTAAGTATGTTTGTTTTCCAAATATACTAAATATAATCAATTCAGCTATTCTATTTGTACATGATGTAGTAAGCAATGCCGAGTACTCGGAAACTCTTGTACAAGTAAGAATGGAATTGAGAGAATGTGAGAAGTTCCTTTGCTTTGTCTGCAAATTAACAAATGAAATGCTTATTTACTGTTTATGTATGTTTGATGCAAAAATCAACATTTAACGGAATTGCACGTTTTGGGGAACCTTGATACCAAAGCAGTTTTTTATCTGGTTCATCCATCCAATCATCCATCCATCCATCCATCCATCATTCATTGAGACTAGCGCTTAAATTAGTTCACAAGATTTTTACCAAAATGGTTATTCCTCGATTGACAAGGCCGCGCTCAGTCTTGGGTATTGAAAACAGACCTTTTAATTTTTGTGAAGGAGAATTTTCACAAACCACTTTCAAATTTAAAAAAAAATTAAAAAACGGCTTTCTAATTTTTTGTTACACTATTTCATTGAGTAGGTCAATCTGCGCTTTTAAAAAGTGTGCAAGACACAAATGCAAACGTTCAAACGTTAATCACCCTTTAGAACTCTTCTACAAATATAACTGCCAATTTATTATGCCAAAAAAGACCATCTGCCATTTATCAATGCCAAAAAGGATCTTCTGCAGTTACAAGTGCGATTTGATGGAACAAGGGCGACTTGATGAAAGAAGTGCGACTTGACGAATCTTTCGAATCAAAGTCCGACAGTCGAATATTCATGTATTTAAAAAAAATACAATGTATCATAATAAACTTAGTTTTCCTTCGGTACAACCAAACTTGTCAAAACTAAACCGGCATTCCGTATAACAATTAAAAACTACCATCTACCATTCAGTCGCGGCCTCTTCTGCTGTAAAACGGGTTATATAGAACATATCATAATACATCTAGGTTCTATTACCTTTCATTAAAAAACACAAATTTTAGTTAATTAGAAAATTCAAAACTTATTTCTTAGCGAAAACCTTTGGGTTTTAAATATAAAGATTTGGATGTAGTAAATACATTAGGCACAATTAGCGTTTTGCTTTTTTAGGATTTATTTGTGAACTCTCATTAAATTTGCTCTCGTAATCTGAAATACTTCCGACTTTGCACTCTTAATTGCACGTGCGACCTTTCTAAAAATTAGAAAGCCGGGTGTTTGGTGTAAAGCAAGTAGTGTCAAGGCTCTGACCTTCGCTTTTACGTTTAATATTTCACGTCTTCGAGTGCAGATTGCAACGTTTCTCTGCGATTACAAACTAAATGACTATGTGCGAACACACACAGCGCAGATCCATTCAATGTAAATTATTGTTTGAAAAGTAAAAATTGCTACATAGTATGAAGTTCATACTGGAACCAAATTTCTTAAGTCCAGCCCCAAGCTGTGCGTTACAGCATTATAGACCCGGGATATAGATTCTGTGCATTTTAATCCCAACCCTCGACAATGTTGGAATGGTTTCTCTCGCACTGTTCCGAACCTATAATGCTGTAAACCACATTTCGTGGGATGATCGTTTACAGTTGGGTTTAGTTTTTTCGTTCTTGGACCTATGTTCTGGAACATAGGAAAACAGTTCTTGTAAATCCGGGTCCAACCTGTTCCCTTTCATTTTCGCACATGTCCCCCACGAATCCTTCACCTGCGACCGAATTGTTTTCTCATAAACTGTCAAAACTATCCTTAGCGAGATACTTATATATTATACAAAGGATTAGAAAGTTTTAAAATCATGATAATTTGTAACTTCATTCCAAAGTCAAAATATTACTGGATGCTACAACAATGTCAACAGTTGTATAATAAACACTAAAATAAATGCACAGAACTGTTGCAGTCACTTTCAAAGTATATATAAGTCAAGATGACTAAAAGGGGAGAAATGGTAAAAAAGTTTTTATGTTTTAACTGCAGCCCAGCAGTCGAAAAAATGTTAAATAAATTCACAAGAATGTCTTTTGAGAGGAACTTTTGGGATTTTTCGAGCCTATTCAAGAGTTCTAAGACACTGTAAAAACGTTTTTTTGTTTGCATTTTAATTTGGCGCCGAGAAATTATCTAAAAATGTGTTTTTTTAATAGTATAAATTATTTTCTTATTTTGCATATTTATCAATAACATAAGTGTTATTTTGACCCCAAAAAATAATAAAAAAGGTGAGCTTTCATTGAATTGGGTACAGAATAGATTTGTTATTTTTGTAAATTGTGAAAATCATTTTTGCTTCATTTTAATTTTTTTAGTAAGTTTTCATTTGTTTCTGATGAGGGAGACATCATTTTCTGAAAGAATGGTACCAAACAAATAAAATTATTCTGTAAAAGTTTTTGGAAGTGATTGTTGTTGTCCAAAATTTAAAAAGAGACTGAGCAACAATTAAATAAAACATTTGTGGCTGTAGATGGGCGCAAGTGGTGGGTGAGGGGGGGTAAGGAACCTTTTAAAAATATTATGTTAAAATTACAGTGTAACTACTCATATGTCGTCTGTACTTGGCGAACCCTTGAAGAGCTCGCGAAAGGGCCAGAGCCTACTAGCAGCCTCCCGGTCATGGGTTTAAGGGAGTAATTGTGTTTAGCACGAATATATCCCTATTCTGGTATTCTGGTCTTCTCAACCTGAGAAGAGAGTTTTCTAATAGTCACACAGCAACATATACCGGGCCACCGCGACATGCGCAAGAAAAACGTGCACTATAATCTTGCCCGGAACCCGGGCAAGGAATCGAGCGGGATCGAAACCGGGATCCAGTTATGGAAAGTGAGAACGCTGACCAATGAGCTAAACAGCGAGGGCTTAATTTGGTTTAGGAGAACTTTTGCCATCTTATCCGGGGATAGATTTAGCGGGCTAGTTTTGCCTCCACAAGTTTGTTGTTGCGCACAGGCTAGGCAGCGTCTCAATAAGTAATATTTCTATTCTCACTGTATGATTGACATTTGATCGCACTAACCCGTTGCATTATGATACTCATTACGATACAAATTTCATTATGATACAGATTCTTGAAGTAGTTTACAAACCAAGTATTTACACTTAATAATTGAGAAATATTCTAGTGAAGGTTTCGTTAGATAGTGTACACATGTGTAAGTGCGTTTAATATTATATTAATCTCCACAGTTTTAATTTCTTTTATTAGTAGTATTTTTTATGTAAAATCTTATTTAAAATAAATTTGATCGTAATTTTACTTTGATCCTATTTGACAGTTATTGGATGGAACATTTGACGTTCAGATCAGAAAGCAGGTCATTCTGTGTTATATGTTGGTGCTCTGTGCTTCTCATTAAAAACCGACTACTTCATAATTTTAATATGTCGAGTGAATCTAAGGTGGAGCTAACACTTTCAGAAATAAGAGAAAAAGCGACAATGAGATTAAATAAAGGTTATTTACAGTGTTAAATTTCTTTACTTTTATTATTCATAGAAAACAAATGGTTTTCAATGAATTTGTTGGGTTAACGGAACTACATTCCTTTAGTAAGTTAATATTTACTCATAGTAATCCCTTGCAGGCGGACTGGTAAACCAAAACCAACTGCTAGAGTAGGGTTAGGAAGCTGTCTGCTAGGTGGCCTTGGCTGAATCCTGAATGTTAACTGCCACGAAACTATTCAGTGTGGTTTATCTTATAAAAGTTACCATAAGTCATAGAAAGAGTACTGTATGAAACTTGATGTAAGGGTTTTACTCTTGTGGAATAATATCACACTGGTTTAATACCAATAATTAAGTCATCGTTTCGTAGTGTAATATAAAGTTAAAAGTAAAAAATCACCGTTAAATTACAAAATATTTTCAGTTTTAATTACTCCTGCTAATTATTATAAGCGCACAACGCATTGCGCAATGATAAAAATACTTTGTGCGTCTCAAAAACTAAGAATTTTTTGATACTGGCGGACTACGTATTTCTGTATATAAATCACTAGAAAAATCCTTAATTGTAAGAACAAAGCATCACACGATAATTAATTACTGCCCACAAATGTTTATAAATCGACATTTGTAAGGTCAAAGGGAAATTGCATCCCATAGCTTCCAAGCTGACAGATTACAGATTTTTTTCGAATAATTAACAAATCCCACCCACCTGATTCGTGTAACCCTCTACTTATTAGTATAGACATTTTATTATTTGCCTTTCCTCTTTAGTAAAAGTCTGTGGTTTTGTAAAAAAAAACACTCAAGTGTGTGAACATTTTTTTCACCCAATAACGATTTATATAATTACAACATGTTACTCTTTATTTTTTTATGTAGCAAAAAACGGTAACAATTGTAAGTGACGTGTGGAGGAGATCATCTTGAGTTCCAGAATCTCTTCCCAACATTTTAACTATAAATAGTTGAAAGATGAATAAAAAGTTAAAAAATAAAACCGCTACCACTACAAGCAAAAGGAGAGCTCAACAAAACGTTCCCATAGTGAAGCTACATTTATGTCCAGAAGCGAAACAAGAAGCCATCTCAGCATTCGCCCAATTCATTAGGAAAACTGGACAAAAATCTGATCGAGATGAGTCATTGACCGGAAAACTGAAGTACATTACTTTTCTACTTATTCAGTATTTTAAAAAAATATACAATTTACATGTAAACTAATGCATTATATATAATTATTTTGTTAAATTAAACAATTTTCTTTTTGATGATTCTCATCTACTACATAGTATTGTAGTAGTAACCAGTTCATTAGGTGTCGGTATCAACAGCTCACTACAAAAAAAAATCACATTTAATACATGCACATTGTACAACAGATTCCAGATGAAATAAAACGATTAACATAGATAAAAGGGTAAATGCCAAGTAAAATATTTCCTGCTGCACAACAGTTTCTGTATTACAATTAATCTACACTGAGCATTAAAAAGTTTGTACATTTTTAAATGGTCTTTTGTAAACATTTACGTCCCTTTTAATA